TAATTATATATGTGTGTGTGTTTGTGTGTGTGTGTTAGTACACATTCATTGTTGCAACAGACACAGGAGTAACAGCAATGTATCCCTTTGTGTATGTGTGTACACACTAATTATATATATACACACACGTGTGTGTGTGTGTGTATGTGTGTGTATATATATATATATATTATTGTTGCAACAGACACAGGAGCAACAGCAGTGTATCCCTTTGTGTATGTGTGTGCACACTAATAATTATATGTGTGTGTGTGTGTTTGTGTGTGTGTGTATGCACACATTCATTGTTGCAACACACACAGGAGCAACAGCAATGTATCCCTTTGGCAGGCTATGTTTATGTGTGTTTAGCTGTGTGTTTTGCAATGAGTTTTATTGTTATTATTTACTATACCCATTGTAATCAGTCATTGCAACACACCAGCAGCAACCAAGCCATTTGCAAGTGAGGCGTTTGTGTGTGTTTTGCATGTAAGTATTTCTCACAGACGTGATTGCACATTATTCGTAGCTATTGATGGCCAGGGCGCACCAATAAGAGACGTGTGTATCACTGTGCGTGTGTATCACTGTGCATGACAATTAAACAATGTCTCTCCACTTATTATTATTATTATTATTATTATTATTATTATTATGGTATTTGAAATACTTGTAGCCACTGGGATATGTGTAGCTGTGTTTTGTTTTGTTTTTTCCTCAAAAGCAGGCGATGGGAGGGAGAATTCAGTGCAAAAAACAAAAAACCTTTATGTCATTTCAACAATTTCCAATGAATCCATTCCTATTCCATATTCTATATCCAGAGCCATCTGACTCTGCGTTGAGCCTGCACACTCCTCATTGCAAAGACTAGGATGCTTCGGAAAGCCACACCGAACTGGATCACGGAAAAAAGACCCTCATAATAATGATCACACGAATAATAATAAATCCCAACGCTCCGATTTGCAAGGAGACCGAGGATGGCATCTGGAGAAGGCATGCAAACCAATAAAATAACCAAGGGAGAGAGGGTAGAAAGGGGGTGCAATGGAATGCCCCCCCTCAATTCCAAACCAATTCCAAACCATCCTCCTTCTTCTCCTCCCTTTTTCCATTGTCTGCAATTGGCAACAGATACAACCCTGGCATCACACTGGGATATTTGGGGGGGGGGGGGGGGCAAAAAAAGGAAGGGTATATAGATAGGAGGGAGCAAAAGAAAGGAGCAGGGAAAGGGAGAGGAAGGGAGGATGAAAGGGAGAGGAAAGGGGCAAATGGGGGGAAGGAAGGGCATTCAGACTGGATCCGGAAAGAAGGAAAAGCAGGAAAAGCAAAGGTGAGGGGGGGTAAAAGAGAATGGGGGGCAAAGGGGAAGGGAGTAAAGGGGTGCAAAGGAAAGGAGTGGCTGTGGATGAGGGAAAAGAAAGGAAAGACGAAGGGGCAAAGGAGGAAGAGAAGAGGCAATTAATGGATGGATGGATGGATGGAGAGGGAGCAAAAGAGGGGTGCAAAGGAGGGAGTGGTTACAAAAAGAGGGGAAAGAGTAATGGGGTGATGAAGGGGGTGGTGGAGGCAGTAGAGAGCAAAGGAGGAAAAGGAAAGGAGGAAAGGGAGGAAAAGAGAAGGAAAGGAAAGGGTGGAGGGAAAGGAAAGTGAGGAAAGAAGGAAAAGGAAAGGGAGGAAAAGAGAAGGAAGGAAAAGGAAAGGGAGGACAGGAGAGGGGAGGAAAAGAGAAGGAAGGGGGAAAGAGAAGGGAGGGAAAGGGGACGAAAGGGAAAGGGAGGAAAAGAGAAGGAAGGAAAAGGAAAGGGATGAAAGGAGAAAGGATGAAAGTGAGGAAAGGAGAAGGAAAAGAAAAGGGAAGGAAGGAAAAAGGAGGAAAAGAGAAGGAAAGGGAGAAAAAGAGAAGGAAGGAGAAAGAAAGGGAGGAAAGAAAAGGGGGAAAGAGGAGGAAAGGGAGAAGGAAAAGCAAAGAGAGGAAAGGAAAAGGGAGGAAAAGGAAAGATAAGGAAGGAAAAAAGAAGGAAAGGAGGAAAGGAGAAGGGAGAGAAAGGGGAGAAAGGAAGGAAGAAAGGAGGAAGGAAGAAGGGAGAAAGAAAGGAAGGAAAGGAAAGAAGAAAAGAGAAGGAAAGGGAGGAAAGGAAAGGGAGAGAAAGGGAGGAAAGGAGAAGAAAAGCAAAGGAGAGAGGGAAAGGGAGGAAAAGATAAGGAAGGAAAGAGAAGAAGAAAGAAGAAAGGGAGGAAAGGAGAAGGAAGGGAAGAGGAAAGGAGAAGGAGAAGAAGGGAGAAAGGAAAGAAAGGAAGAAAGGGAGGAAGGGAGGAAAATAGAAGGAAGGGAAAGGAAAAGGGGAAAAGGAGAAGGGGGGAATGCTCCCAACCTATTTGCACATAGGAGGGGGGTGTCAAAGAACTGGAAAAACAACAGCATCAGGTCGAAAACACTCACCCACTCCCCCTCCCCAATAACAATAATAATGCCACACCCTCTTCAGACCCCCCCCCTCCCCAATTGCACTTTCTCCTGTCAAACTGGAGGGACCCCAAGAGACCTCCTCCTATCTATTCATCCATCCCTCCCTCCCTTCTTTTCCCCCCATCCTTCAATTCCTCATGCTCCTCTGAAGGAGAACAATGTGGCCCAGAAAGCAGGGCGAAAGACCCTGACATCCAAATAGACCCCTCCAACCCACCCTTGCGCCACAACCATTCTCAGCAAATGCAAACTCCCTTGAAGGGTTTTCCAGTTTCCACCCAATATTCCCTTTCTGGAAAAATAGGGGTGGGTGGGGGGCATCTCAATGTGATTGTGCAACAAATAAATAACAAAAACGACTAGCGCCGAACAAGCCTGGCATATTATTGCTCAAGAGAGAATCCAAATTGCAAAATCTCTCTTTTTCCTTCCTTGCCTCTGGTCCCCTCCCTTGCAAAGCCTTTCATTGTTTGCGCCCTGGAAAGATGCTCCCATTTTAAAACCACAAAGTAATACTATACTACCACTATTATCATTACTATGGGTAGTAATACAAGGGAGAAAAGGAGGGTCCTGGTTTAGCCAAAGCTGGAAAACAGCACCAACGTCCAGCCTTATACATGTCACCACACAAAAATCACCTTTCTGGGGAGAGGAAATTATATATAGAGAGATGCTAAACAAGGAGATGGGGAGGAAAGACCCAACCGACATGGCTCAAGAGATACCAATTGCAATTATTCCTAAGAATCACCATACATCTTTTCCAGGTATTTATATCATGTATTGCATGGGACATTGCAACCTATGCAAAAACATCATCATAGTATTTGTTGCATGGGGAAAATGCAATCTATGCCAAATAATAATCATCATCATAGTATGTGTTGCATGAGAAGGTGCAACCTAGGCAAAATCATCATCACTATCATTACAGTATGTGTTGCATGGGAAGATGCAACCTATGCAAAATCATAATAATCATCACAGTATGTGTTGCATGGGAAGATACAACTTATGCAAAATCATCATAATCGTATGTGTTGCATGGGAAGATGCAACCTATGCAAAATAATACTACTACTAAAAATAATGTTTGTATGGGAAGGTGCAACCTATGCAAAATAATATTACTACTAATAATATTTTGCAACTTATGCAAAATAATAATAATAATAATAATAATAATAATAATAATAATATTTTTTGAATGGGAAGATGCAACTTATGCATCATCATCAACATAGTATTTGTTGCATGGTAAGATGCAACCTATGCAAAATAATAATAATAATAATATTTTTTGCATGGTAAGATGCAACCTATGAATAATAATAGTAGTAGTAGTATTTTTTGCATGGTAAGATGCAACCTATGCAAAATAATAATAGTAGTAGTACTTTTTTTTTTTGCATGGGAAGATGCAACTTATGCAAAATCACCACCATTATCATAGTATGTATTGCATGGGAATACGCAACCTATGTAATATCATCATTAACATCAACATCATAGTATTTATTACATGGGAAAATGCAATCTATGCAAAACCACCACCACCACCATCATTGTATTTATTGCATAGGAAGATGCAACTTATGCAAAATCATCATCATCATCATCACCATCATCATCATAGTATTAGTTGCATGGGAAGATGCAACCTATTAAATATAATCATCATAGTATTTGTTGCATGGGAAAATGCAACCTATTAAATATAATCATCATAGTATTTATTGCATGGGAAAATGCAACCTATTAAATATAATCATCATAGTATTTATTGCATGGGAAAATGCAACCCATTAACTATCATCATAGTATTTGTTGCATGGGAAGATGCAACCTATTAAATATCATCATAGTATGTGTTGCATGGGAAGATGCAACCTGTGCAAAACCACCATCATCCTCATCATCCTCAATACACACTAGCAAGAAAGGGAGGGGGAAAGAGCCTGCCAACATACAACAACCCTCCCTGCAAAGCTTGCAAATTCCCTCTTGCAAACCTCTCTCTCTTTTTTGCAACAGCAAAATCATAATATTTATTGCATGGGAAGATGCAACCTATTAAATATCATCATAGTATGTGTTGCATGGGAAGATGCAACCTGTGCAAAACCATCATCCTCATCATCTTCCCCAATACACACTAGCAAGAGAGGGAGGAGGAAAGAGCCTGCCAACATACAACAACCCTCCTTGCAAAGCTTGCAAATTCCCATCCCTTTTGCAACCCCTTTTTTTTTTTTGCAACAGCAAAATCATAGTAATTATTGCATGGGAAGATACAACCTATTAAATATCATCATGATAGTATGTGTTGCATGGGAAGATGCAACCTGTGCAAAACCATCATCATCATCCTCATCATCCTCAATACACACTAGCAAGAGAGGGAGGGGGAAAGAGCCTGCCAACATACAACAACCCTCCTTGCAAAGCTTGCAAATCCCCATCCCTCTTGCAAACCCCTCTCTCTCTTTTTGCAAAAGCATGCAATGCCAATGGGTCCCAAGCCCCCCTTTTTGCTTACCTGCCGCCCCTAGGAAGAGCCAAATCCAAGAGAAAGCCTTGCTGGGGAGCATTATTGTCATCGCGGGGAAGTTTCCCTTTATTTGCAGGCAAGAGAGAGGCAGATAGAGGTGTTTCTCCCCTTTTTCTTCAGGTGCCAAAGAGGAGGAGAAGGGGGGAAAAAACCAGGGGGGAAAAGGGGGAGTGGGGGAGAAAACCCTCCCTAAAATGAAGGAGGTGTTTGGAAATAAACTATAGGTATATCTCTCTTGCAGTTCTTCTTCTCCTTTCTCCTTTGTATTGGGTTTGCTTTTTCCTCCAGCTGCTTTGGGGAGCCGGTGGGGAGAATGAGTGACAGCCGCGGCCTCAGCACCCGGGAGCGCGCACAGAGAGATCCTTGCGCGGCCCCGCAGGGAGGAGGAGGGAAGGAGGGAAGGAGGGAATGAATGGCAAGGAAGGAAGCAAAGAGGAGGAGGAGGAGGGGGAGAGATAGCTGGGCGAGCGGTGGTGCTGCTGCACCTCGGTGGAGCTGTGTCCTTCCACCCAGACGGGCCTCCGAAATAGTACAGAGCAAGCAACCAGCAGCATCAAGGAGGAGGAGGAGGAGGAGGAGGATGGAGGGAAAGGGAGAAAGGAGGCAGAGGAGGGAGGGGGTGCCTGGAAAAGATGGACTGGACAGCCAGGGATCTGGAGCCCTTCCCAGGAAGGGAGGGAGGGAGGGAGGAAGGGAAGAAGGAAGGATGGATGGAAGGCAAAGTGAGGGAAGGAGGAGGGAGAGAAGGAAGGGAAGAGGGAGGGAGGAAGGCAGGAAAGCAAAAGGAAGGAAGGCAAAGGAAGGGAAGAAGGAAGGATGGATGGAAGGCAAACTGAGGGAGGGAGGAGGGAGAGAAGGAAGGAAAGAGGGAGGGAGGAAGACAAAGAAAGGGAAGAAGGGAGGAGAGAAGAAGGAAAGAAGGGAGGAAAGAGGGAGGAAAGCAAAGGAAAGAGGGAGGAAGGAAGACAAAGAAAGGGAAGAAAGGAGGAGGGAAAAAGGAAAGAAGACAAAAGGAAAGAAGGGAGGAAAGAGGGAGGAAAGCAAAAGGAAGGAAGGAAGGAAGGAAGGGAAGGATGGAAGGCAAAGTGAGGGATGAAGGAAGGAGGGTAGCAGGAAGGGGAAAGGAAGGAAGACAAAAAGAAAGAAAGAAGGAAAGAGGGGGGAAAGCAAAGGAAAGAGGGAGGAAGGAAGGCAGGCAGGCAGGAAAGCAAAAGAAAGGAAGGCAAAGGAAGGATGGAAGGCAAAAGTGAGGGAAGAAGGAAGGAAGACAAAAGGAAAGAGGGAGGGAGGCAAAGGAAGGGTAGAAGGAAGGATGGATGGAAGGCAAAGTGAGGGAAGGAGGAGGGAGAGAAGGAAGGGAAGAGGGAGGAAAGCAAAGAAAAGAGGGAGGAAAGAAGACAAAGAAAGGGAAGAAGGGAGGAGGGAAGAAGGAAAGAAGACCAAACGAAAGAAGGGAGGAAAGAGGGAGGAAAGCAAAGGAAAGAGGGAGGGAGAGGAAGAGCAAAGAAAGGGAAGAAAGGAAGGGAGAAGAAAAGGAAGAAAGGAAGGAGGGAAGGAGAGGGAGAGAAGGAAGGCAAGAGGGAGGGAGGAAGGCAAAGAAATGGAAGAAGGAAGGGAAGAAGGAAAGAAGACCAAAGGAAAGAAGGGAGGAAAGAGGGAGGAAAGCAAAGGAAAGAGGGAGGGAGGCAAAGGGAGGGAAGAAAGGATGGATGGAAGGCAAAGTGAGGGATGAAGGAAGGAGGGTAGCAGGAAGGGAGAGAAAATGAAAGAAGGGAGGATAGAGGGAGGAAAGCAAAGGAAAGAGGGAGGGAGGCAAAGGCAGGCAAGAAGGAGAGAGGGAGAGAAAGGGAGGAAGACCAAAGGAAAGAAGGAGGAAAGCAAAGAGGAAGGGAGGAAGGCAGGCAGGAAAGCAAAAGGAAGGAAGGCAAAGTGAGGGAAGAAGGAAGGAAGACAAAAGGAAAGCAGGGAGGAAAGAGGGAGGAAGGCAAAAGAAGGAAAGATGGAAAGAAGAAGGAAGGCAGGAAAGCAAAAGGAAGGAAGGGAAAGGAAGGATGGAAGACAGAATGAGGGAAGAAGGAAGGAAGACAAAAGGAAAGAGGGGGGGGGAAGGAGGGCAAAGGAAGGGAAGAAGGAGAGAGAGAGAAGGAAGGAAGGAAGACCAAAGGAAAGAAGGAGGGAAAGAAGGAGGAAAGCAAAGGAAAGAGAGAGGGAAGGAGGAAGGCAGGAAAGCAAAAGAAAGGAAGGCAAAGGAAGGATGGAAGGCAAAGTGAGGGAAGAAGGAAGCAAAAGGAAGGGAGGAGAGGGAGGAAAGCAAAGGAAAGAGGGAGGGAGGGAGGCAAAGGAAGGATGGAAGGCAAAGTGAGGGAAGAAGGAAGGAAGACAAAAGGAAAGCAGGGAGGAAAGCAAAGGAAGGGAGGAAGGATGGATGGAAGGCAAACTGAGGGAAGAAGGGAGGAAGACAAAAAGAAAGCAGGGAGGAAAGAGGGAGGAAGGCAAAAGAAGGAAAGATAAAAGGGGAAGAAAGAAGGAAGGAAGAAAAACAAAAGGAAGGAAGAAAAGGGAAGGAGGAAAAAGAAGAAAAAGGAAGAGGAAGGAGAAAAGGGGGAGGAAGGAAGGCTGAAAGCAAAAGGAAGGAAGGGAAACAAGGAGGGAAGTACAAGGAAGGAAAGTGGAGGTGGGGAAAGAAGGAAGGAAGGAAGGGTGAAAAGAAGGAAGGAAAGAGGGAGGAAAGCAAAATCAGGAAGTTCTTCCTATTGTTCAGGTGGAATCTCCTTTCCTGTAGTTTGAAGCCATTGCTCCCTTGCGTCCTAGTCTCCAGGGCAGCAGGAAACAAGTTCGCTCCCTCCTCCCTATGACTTCCTCTCACATACTTATACATGGAGCTCATCATGTCTCCTCTCAGCCTTCTCTTCTTCTGGCTGAACATGTCCAGCTCTTTAAGCCGCTCCTCATAGGGCGTGTTCTCCAGACTCTTGATCCTTTGAGTTGTCCTCTTCCTCTGGACACATTCCAGCTTGTCAACATCTCTCTTCAATTGTGGTGCCCAGAATTGGACACAGAGTGATTCCAGGTGTGGTCTGTCCAATGCGGAATAGAGCATGGGGAACATGACTTCCATGGATCTAGGCACTAGGCTCCTATTGATGCAGGCCAACATCCCATTGGCTTTTTAAGCTGCCGCACCACACTGTTGACTCATGTCTAACTTGTTGATGATGAGGACTCTCAAGATCATTTTCACATGTACAGTACACACCAGAGAGCAAAGGTAGCACTCGTCTCAGCCATCTTTGGTCTCATCAGCCTCAATGGTTCCTCCCCATAAGAAAAAATTAAGTAACACTTTGATGGGATATACACTGATTTAGGCTTGTTAGTGCCCCCCCCCTTCCCTGACATGCCATATTGCGGTTCTGATGGTCTCTTCAGTAGTTGAAAAGCAAACAATTACCGTTGTTGTAATTCCCCATTTAAAAGAAAGAGAACAGTTAATCATCTCCGTCAAATTATGTTGCATGTTGCAACAAAGGGGCGTCTTCATCTGAAGGATTTTCTTGTGATTTAGACAAAATGAGGTTACAGCGAAGCGTTTACCTGCGGAAAACAATTGCTTCTCTCTCCTTCCTCCCATTAATTCAACCTCAAACGTGTTTCTGTTCTCCCTTTTGAAAAAAAAAGTATTCTGTGGCAGAACGTAGGCTACAAAGCTCCTTTCATGGGTGGCGCACCCCATCAGGGAGACGTCCCAGAAAAGGGTCGAGTTAGGGGGAAGCCCACATTTAGGGCAAGGCTTCCTACAGTATTGAGCATGGCCCAATGCAGTCGTATCATGGGATTTGGCCTTTCGTGAGGCACAAAATTGCAGATCTGGAGAATCCATATGATGCAGCCATGGCCGCTGAAGTAGAATCCATACGCTACAATGGTGTAATGCGAAATAGAATTATGGCTTTGCTTGGACGTTCCCATATTAAGAAGCAGGAACCTCGTACAAGGAGATGATGGTGATGAGGAGGAGGGAGAAGAGGAAGAATGGGAGGGAGAAGAAAAGGTGGAAGAAGAAGAGGAGGAGGAATAACAGGAAGAAGGAAAGGTGAAAGAAGAAGAGGAGGAAGAATAGCAGGAAGAAGAGGAGGAGGAAGGATGGGAGGAAGAAGAAAAGGTAGAAGACAAAAAGGAAGAATGGGAGAAAGAAGAAAAGGTGGAAGAAAAAGAGGAGGAATGGGAGGAGGAAGAAGAGGAGGAATGGGATAAAGTGGATGAAGAAGATGAGGAAGGAGAAGAGGAGAAGGAGCAAGATGAGGTTGGGAAGAAGGGGAGGAAGATAAGGAGGAGGAGGGGGAATCATAGAATCAAAGAGTTGGAAGAGACCTCATGGTCCATCCAGTCCAACCCCCTGCCTAGAAGCAGGAATATTGCATTCAAATCACCCCTGACAGATGGCCATCCAGCCTCTGTTTAAAAGCTTCCAAAGAAGGGGCCTCCACCACACTCCGGGGCAGAGAGTTCCACTGCTGAACGGCTCTCACAGTCAGGAAGTTCTTCCTAATGTTCAGATGGAATCTCCTCTCTTGTAGTTTGAAGCCATTGTTCCGTGTCCTAATCTAGAAGAAGAAGAGGAGGAGGAGGAGGAGGAGGAGGTGGTGGAGGAGGAGACTCAACCCAACCCATTGCCCAAATTGCCTCAACCCTGCATTGGAGTTCAAGTTGCTAAATATATGGAGCTTCTGTTGTCCAAGAAAACTCAGTGTTGGACAGGGCATAGGCAACCTTGATGGCCAAAGCCAAATCCCTTCTGTAACATCACTTCCAGTTGGCGTTTTCAGCTGAAAAATGATGTCTTCTACATTGAGAGTATGGTGGAACAAGAAGTCCCCAACTTTCATGTTTTTGTGATGGGTTGAGTTTTGGGATGCCTTGTTTGGTCAAACAAATAAGCTAAAATCTGGGGCTATGTGTGGAGGGTAGGCCGCACTTCCCTCACTTCTGTTGCACTGAAGGTACGTTCATGTGGTTCAAAAATGCAACCCTTCCTTTTTGGATCAAGGAAAGGTGCCTTGAAAGCATTGTCTGCTCTTTCCTTTTTGTGCTGATGGCATTGGAGCATCAGGGAAAGGCCGCACGGAAGATCAGTCACCGAAGATCAGAGGCAGGGAGATGAAAGGACAGGTGGCATTACATCTCTCTCCATGGTTGGGCAGATAGCTTCATATTCGTATCGAACTGATCCGGTATGAAAGCGAACAGATCCCCACCAGAGCAAACGTCACGCCAACGGACAGAGAGAGACCTCACCGCTTGACAGGCGCGATGCTCATCCGATCATTGCAAAAGAGGAGCAGACATCATCTCCCGTTTGTCAAGGTGGCAAATCCTTGTTTCTACTCGTCTCACAAACAAGACCATCCAGAGCCTTCGCAGTTCGATTTTGAGGTCTTGATAGCGGCTGAGTTTTTCCTGTTGTGTTTCCTCAATGTAACTGTCACCTGGAATGGCGACATCAATAATCCAGACTTTTTTCTTTTCCACAATTGTGATGTCTGGTGTATTATGTTCCAAA